TCTCTCTCTCTCTCTCTCTCTCTCTCTCTCTCTCTCTCTCTCTCTCTCTCTCTCTCACACACACACACACACACACACACATACATACATACACACACACACAAAATAAAGAACTTTCTAAAGATAAGAAGATGTTGATATAGTGATTTTTGCTTGTTCTATTTGGTTTTTAGATAAGGTCTCACTATGTCCTTGTTGGCCTGGAACTCAGTATGTGGCCCTGACTCACTTCATAAGGATCCAAAGTCCCTTGTAGTGTCTTGTCATCTAGATACTTTCTGAGCCATCTATCATCAATTAAATTTCTTTGGGTGATCCTGCAGATAGGAACTCTGCAATTAAGCTGCAAAGCAGGTAAGGAGTCAGAATATTGTGTTGGGGAAACAGAACCTTGTCATATAGAAGATAGCAGTACATAGTTCATGATGACACACACATTGGATGATCAGACACTGGCAATCTCTCCTCTGAATGGAAATGGATACAGTTTTGAACACACAGATGGGTGAAAGAATTACAAAAGAAATAACAAGTAGTTTTAAAAGGGAAAAGGCATCAAGCTAGGGGAGAACTGCAAGACCGTTGATTCTTCCTGCCAGCCATCTGCTGAGGACAAGGCTAAAAGGCTGTAAAATGACTAAAGGTGCAAACCTTGTTACAAACGCAGGAAACCACACAGAAGTCTTGTGAAGCAGATGGATGATGAGGGTGGGACTAGGAAATATGAATGTGTAATAGTACCCCATCATCAGAAAAATGCATGGGGGAGTTTTGGTTCTGTTTTGTTTTTATTGGCTAGAGGATACTGATTAGGATAGAGAATGCAGCTAAACCAAGCAGAAGCTTCAGTTTGAGGGACAACAGCTGACCGACTTTCTCTTCAGACTGTTAAAAAACAACGAATAATCTTGAGTCACGGGAAGGAACACACGAACAAATTAAACAATGTGAAAGTGACTCTCAGGGCAGTTCTATTTGTAAAAAGGGTGTGCCAGAGCCCAAACCTGGCTAGCAAGCACACGGGGCCCAGATGACCGCCATCTTTTATGCCTAATCTAGAGGGTGACTCCATCATCCCATTAGTGAGAGCTTGACTTTACAATCTGTCTCAGTTGGAGGGGAGGGGTGTTAGGATTCTGCCACTCCTCCAGCTGCATGACTGCACATGCGCAGTTCAGTAGCCAAGTAAGGGGCTTTATGTCTTTCTTACGTCATCCGTGTGCAGTATGGTCACGCTATCTGCACATGTGTGTCGTAGTTCTGTAAGCAAGCCCACATGCGCATGCGCAGGGAAATCCTTAAAAATCCGGTCACGACTCCTCCCTTTTCTTCTGCTCTCTCCTCCTCCCCCACTTGCTCGCTCCCTGTGTGTGTCTCTCATGGGCCTGGTCACTCTCTTATGCCACCCCCCACCCCTCCTAATAAAGCTCTGATCCTAAGTTTTGTAGTACCTCATGACCTTTCCTCACAGAGTAAAAGTTCTGCATTTAAAACTAACAAAGAGGAAGGCTCAGGAAATATGAGTCCTGGCTGTACTGATTACAGTTGATAGACAAAATATATATAATTACCTTTGATAGAGAAAATGGAAACACCTCTAATAGAAAAGAAAACAAAATTTCTCTTGAAAGACCAAGAACTGATACTGTGGGAAAAAACAAAGGAACTGAGAATAAATGACATGACTTTAGTGTTGTGCTCTGGAAGGTATGCCAGAATGATGGCGCATCACAGAACATAACATTGGTTTAAGTAGGTAAAGCAATGAAGTAAAGATGGATTGTGATTCCAAGGAGTTAAGGAAGTATAAGGCCAGAGAGCTGTGGCTTATCCATATGGACTTGAGGTCACTCGAGATGGTGGCACACCAGGTTTTTTAGTAATAGGAGGCAGATAAAAGTAGATAGGAGTGGATAGCTGATAACTCTGGGTACTGCTGTATGGTAGATATATATCCAAGATAAATATGAGACAAGATGGTAGATAGCAATGCTGAGGTAGGCTGGAAGACTTTAGAGCCAAGTTGAAGTGGACACAAAGGAAGAGGTTTGTGTGTGTGTGTGTGTGTGTGTGTGTGTGTGTGTGTGTAGAATCGCATCATGGAGGAGTCACACTTCCTCAGGTATAGTCATTCAATTTGGTGGACATGCCTGGTATTCTATGCCTTGGCAGAGGGAGGCAAAAGGATTCAAGTCCAAGGCCTATTTGCTCTACAAAGCAAAGCCCTGTTTTAGAAAAACAAAAGAGGAAAAAAGAAAAAAAAAGGTTGATAATTTTTGAATGACAAGTATGATGAATCTTTCAAAATCACTCTTTAGTTATTAAAAATCAGGAAAGCATACTTTCCATTATATTTAGACATCCTCTGCATGCTGTCAAACCTATAGTCTTTGAAAGAAAGCCAACCAATCATTTAAACTCTGAAGCATATTCAAGCAAGCCTTAACAGTTCATGAACACAGTTTGGTAAAGCTTGTTGGCAAACTTTAGAAAACTCCCCATTCTTCATTTGTGCCAGGGATGCACAGTAATCTTAAAACTTTTCTGTCAATCCAATCCTTTTTAACATATTTGTTGGTCTTTGATATGTAAAAGCTGAACAACTTGGGATAAAAAGCAGAATCCATAAATTCGGAAGTCAAATACCATGCTTTACAATGCTCTTTTTCTTTTTATTATATACACAAAATAATAACCTAGAAATGTTCTTTCCCATCATTTGATGGGGGAAAGGGGATTTCTGTGAGCTTCTAAAGGTCGATCCTCTGACATCCTCTTCCCCTTGTTGCTGACATCTCTGAATATCATGATAATAATATTCACTCCTTATCTTTCATCTACTGTTTGTCTTTTGGACTATACTGTGACCTTTATTCCCAGATGAAGGAGGGATATCAGACTCACCCTTGGCAGTTCAGAGCAGGCTCGGTAGAGCAGTCAGACCTTGGAGTACACAGTACACTTTGAAACACCTTGCGTTGCACACCGAGGAGTGCAGAATGGCTGTACAAGCAGCTGATGGAAACTGTGCTGAAGACTGTGCTTTCTGCTTCCCTCTGGAGACATGGTGCAAATCAGCAGGAGCTTTTGCTAGTTGCCACTTCTTCCAGACCACTCACTCAGGGGGATGAGGACTGCAGAGCCAAGGGAGGGAGCCAGAATTCCATAGTATCCACAGCATCAGCATCCGCATTCCCACACTTCCCCAAACCCTGAGAGGCTAAGTCTTAGGGTTCCATAAGAACAGGAAGTGAATGGGCTAGGTCCATACTAAGTTAGTCGACTCAGTATTACCAACAGGAAACGTCTGTAAGCCAAAGGTGGTGCTGCCCACAGGTCTTGCGCAATTTTCATCTTCTAGATTGAATCTAGTAAGTGGTAAGAGTTGAGCAACTGTATGGGAGAAAACTAGAAAATATCTATAGTGTTGTAAAATTAAGTGGGCATTAAACATTTAGTGATGCTACAATCCAGAGAAAATGTGTTTTCCAAGCGGATAAATGGAAGACTAAGTTTCAAATGCCCATCTGTTAGCAGCGTGTGTGAATGCAAATAGGATTCTCTTACAACCAAGCCATTTGCTCCTTCTTAGCAGTTGAAAGTGGCCCCAGACAGAGCAGGGAGTCCTAGTGTGGAAACACTATTAGGTGACCAATGGCTAGAAACCACTCTAGTGTCTTCCTTCCAGACCTCTTCCTTGAGCTATGTGCTATTTCAGTGGTCTTGAGATCAGAGCGGAAACATACAAGGCCAGACCACACATTGTCCTTACCTGGCAAATCCAAGGCACACCGGGCTCAAAGAGTGACCTGTACCGAACACTAAATGCCAAAAATCACTTTCTAATAAACACCAAAAATATGAATTTTCTTCACAAAATAGTAAAGTGGATCAAGGCCTGGGGTGCTCCTGCTGTAAAGGTGTTGGTGTGGAACTTCCCTTCTCAGACAATGAGGACAGAAACTCAGGTTTAAGTACCCGCTGTCCGCCAGTTGTTCAGGTTGGTGCTTTTACACATGCTTTAAAAGAATGCTGTCTGCTTATAAGGCACTGCTGTCTTTCTTTATATGTGAGAGAACTGAGGCTCAGGCAGGTTGAACAATCTGAGATCATGCATGGTAGTGGGTGTTATGAAATACTAAGCTTGTTGGTTCATTTCGAAAACACGTGTTTCTTTTTAAATACACCATATTTCTATTCCCTTGGCCAGAGACTGGCCTTACTTTTGTAATAAATATTGGATCCATTACCTGTAAGCTTTAGAAAAGAGATTTACTATATTTTTAAATTGTGTGCATACATGTGTCTGTGTGAAGGTTTGTGATGGGAAGGACTATCATCAAATACACTGTGTGAAAAATTTAAATAATAAAGAAGTCAGTTGGAGGGCGAGGAGCGTTTGCTGAGGAATAGAATGCTTGTCTAGCACATAGTGGTCCTTGGTTAGTCCTCAGTAGAGCAGGAGAAAAAGGAAAAATAAGGCTAAAAACTCAACTGGTAAAATGTCAATGAACCATAGTTCACTGATCACTGAGCATGCCTCAAAGAGCTGGACCTGCAGCAGGCACCTGTAACCTCAGTACCAGGAAGAGGGGTTCAGGAGAATCCTTGGGACTTGCTGGCTGTGCAGTATAGCTAATCAATAGTCTTCAGGTTCAGTGAGAGACCTATCAAATAACAAGACAAAAAACAAAAACAAACAAACAAAAACCCTTATAGAGAGCTGTCGAAGACATGAGTAAGGTGCTCACAGAATCCAGAGGAGGCGATCAGATGCCCCAGAACTGGTGTTACAGGCAGTTGAGTGTCAGCCTACATGGGTGCTAGGAATCGAACTGAATCCTCTGTAAGAGCGGTATGTGGTTTTTTTTTTTTTTACTTGTTTGTTTTTTTGCTGTTGATTGTTTCTTTATTTGTTTGGGTCATAGTCTCATTTAAAAAGTCCCAGCAGGGCAGGAACTCACTGTAGATCAGGCTGTCCTCAAACTTCCGAGATCCGTCTGCCTCTGCCTCCCGAGTGTTGAGATTACAGGGGGGTGCCACCACACCCACTTACAGCATGTGCTTATAACCACTGAGCAGTCTCCAACCTGTGGCTTCTTAAAAACATCTTAATTTGTCCTTTGAAAATTTCATACTTTTATACAGTTTGATCGTAACATTCCACCATCATCTCCTTCCAACTCCCTTAATGGCCCCTATCCCATCACCCTCCCAACTTCATGTCCTCCTTGGTTGTTGTTATAGTAACTGTTACCCATGTCCCCATGAATTTTGTCCACCTATTGGAGCATGGGGGACCTACTATCAAGTCCCCAAAGGACAGTGACTCTCCCTCCCTCAACAGCCACCACCATCCAGAGGCTTCTAAATTCCTGGATCTCTGTAAGTATATTGCCTGAGATGCTGATGTGTAGGCTTTAGCACCTAGGTCAATAATTTGACATTGCAACAAAACTACATGATGTCATTTGTAAAGTTTATGAAGGAGAACTGGACAATCAACTTTTCAAAAAAAATCACCGAAGTAGATTCAAAGAAAGCACATAAAGAGAAGCTAAAAGGGGCATGGCATGTTAAGTAGTCAGGAAATCTCTTGAACTTTAAACTTCCACATCACAGTATGAATTGGTTCGAAGATAAGAAGTAGTATAAATTCTCTCTTGTGGACAGGACTGAATCTCTGCTTTTCCAGAGGCACACACAGCTGAGATCATGGCATTTGACGGCAGTTGGAAAGTAGACCGGAGTGAGAACTATGATAAGTTCATGGAGAAAATGGGTAAGGACTGGTTTCTACCTGGGCAGTTCATGTTTGCTTTCCTCTCTGTGTGTGTTAGGGAATGACCGGTGATGTGTAAGGCTCCAGGTGTGATTGTACAGAGTCTGGAAATCCATGTCCACACTTCCTGCTTTAGGAAAACATCTTGTTCCCTAGGGCAAGTGTTAGAGCCCCTGGGTTTTCTTCCCTTTCTTGCTAATTACACCTATGTAAATGAAAACTGACATGTTTGTGTTCATTAGAAGAAAGACAATTGTAGTGAGTTATGATAATTTCCAGGGTTTAAAATAATACTGGATTATAGGGGGTAAAAGAACAAGGAACTTCTAGTAACATAAGAAAACAATTTTATCAAACCTCAGCTTGAATAAATTCTATGTAGTTCTCTTCTCTGACTTGCCTAACTTCAGGAACAGCGATAGAAAGCTGTTTCCTTTGTGGAGGTATACTTTGACTCTATTATAAATGTCTGCTAATGTTCTCGCAACCTACACTACAAAATTGGGCAAAAATTATGTGTTATTTCTGAAAACAAAACCTGCATAAAATTATAGCTTATACTTTAGGGATTGTAAATTTAAGTTTATGAAATTTGTACATTCATACTATAATGAACTTAACCATAAAATCTCTAATTTTTCTGGCTTGGGACCAATCAGAAATGCCAGAAAAATAAATACAACTATAAAGCAAGCAAAGCATGGTGCTATATGCCTGTGATCTTAACACTTTGAGAGGGAAATGGCTAGCCTGAGCTATGCAGCAAGTTTGGAGCCTGCCTGGGTTTTATGCCAAGAACCAGTTTCAAACGACAACAAAATAAATAAATTCACTTGGAAAGCAAAGTAGTGTTGGAAATGAATAAATATCCCGAACTGAACTTGATTCCTTTAATAAATGAATACACCTCTTAATGCTTCATTTGACATTGCTGCAATTTGACTAGACACTGAAGCAAAAGTTTGTTAAGCTTGTTAAAATGACCCAGGGCTGAGGTGCTACAGTTTGCTGCTTCATTTACATTTTCTTAGTGTAGAAAAGCTGTCTGAACCATTTCTCTGGATCTGCCAGAGCTTCCCCTTTCTCTAAAAGCAATTCAGTGTGCTTGTGCACACACAACACTATTTGTTCTTTCTTCTCCACCCACAAAATAAAGATGAGCAGACCAAAGCAGAGCTAAGAAAGGGACACACTTTCTGTGGCGTTTTCATTTCATGCTCCTCCCAATCTCTCCTCTTGCAGGCGTTAATGTGGTGAAAAGGAAGCTTGCAGCGCATGACAATTTGAAATTGACCATCACACAAGAAGGGAACAAGTTCACAGTCAAAGAGTCAAGCACCTTTCGCAACATTGACATTGTGTTTGAACTTGGTGTCAACTTTACCTACAGTCTAGCAGATGGAACGGAACTCAATGTAAGACATTTTTATAAACAATGCATTCTCGATATTTTTTTTTTTTACCAATATAAAGTGCTTTATCTCATGGAATGGTTCAGCTAATGCAAATTCATTCATTTATTGAAGCAGCAACAAAGTCTGTTCATATTTTATAATCATACACAGAGGTAAATGTTTAAATATAATATTTTATTGTGATACACATCTGTGAAAAAAGCTATACTGAGCAATAAGGTTTAGAATACTCCTCTTAGATGGACTGAGTATCGGGATTGTCACAAGATGTCTTACTTAGGGTTTCAATTGCTCTGAACAGACACCATGACCACAGGAATTTTTATAATGTAAAATATTTAATTGGGTGGCTTACAGTTTCAGAGATTTAGTCCATTATCTTTGTGGTGAGACATAGTGGCATGCAGGCAAATGTGGTGCTGGAGAAGGAGCTGAGAGTTAATGCATCTTGATCTACAGGCAACAGGACACGAACTGTGTCACTGGGCATAACTTGAGCATAGGAGACCTAAGTCCACCCCAACAGTGACACACTTCCTTCAACAAAGCCACACCTACTACAACAAAGTCACACCCCCTAATGGTGCCATTCCCTATGGGGGCTGCTTTCTTTCAAACCACCACACAAGAAAATGTAAAGTTCTGCATTTTCAACTCTTCCTGCTGGGAGAACACAAGTTATAGTGTTTAAGATATTCAAACACAGTAACTGTTTATAAATGTACTTGGACAATAAACTGAGAAGCTGGAAATGTAGTTGAATCAGGAGACTGTAGCAGGTATAAAACCCTGGGTTGTGTTTCCAATGCTGCATAAAAACTGGACATGGTCACACCTTCCTGTAATCTCAGGACTTGGGAACTGGAGTCAGGAGGATCATAAAGTCAAGCTTTTCCTCACACACAGAGTAAGTTTGAGGCCGGTGTGGGCTATATGAGATCTCATCTCAAATAAACATTGATTAAAAAAGTTAATGAACGGGTGAGTAGCCAAATGTGAAAGTTTAATGCATTATAGGTAATTAAGAATGTCTCTTTCAATGGACAAGATAAAAAAAATTTTTAAGGACTCACTCTATCCAATTAATTTTTCAAAAGTATTTTTAGCCTCAGAGTATGTTTGCAGTGATGTGTGTGTGTGTGTGTGTGTGTGTGTGTGTGTGTGTGTGTGTGTGTGTTTGTGCCCATGCCCACGCCCAAGTGCACATGGAGAGGCCAGAGGAGGACATCGAGTGCCCCACTCCACTGCTGCGCATCTTACCCCCTTGAAACAGGGTATCTCACTGAACCTGGAGGGAGGCTGGCGCTCACAAAGCCCCATGAGCCTCCGGTCTCTACAGCATCAGTGTCACGGGCATTTGTGAACACACCTGGCTTTTCACATGGATTCCGGGGACTTGAATTCAGGTCCCCAGGCTTGTGTTGTCAGTTCTCTCCTCACCTGCCACGACAGTCTAACTGCTGAGTATTTCATCACTAATGTCATCACTACTCCTCTGCACTGGAATTCAGCCTATAGCAATTGTCAGCGGAGTGGTGCCTAGTAGTTCCCGGTACAGCCTGGACTCCCACAGCGCATGTCCAATCTCTTTCTGACTTTCGAGGAATCGCTATGACATTTCACAGTCTCTGTAGACATAAAATGGAGGAAATGTATTACTTCATAGAGTGCATAGGGTCACTGAGTGAAGAAGATGTGGGTCTGTAAAACTGGAAATCGTGTTAGAGACATGCAAGACCATAAAAATGCTGCCTTATTATTGTGACACAGGGGACCTGGAGCCTTGAGGGAAATAAACTCATTGGAAAATTCAAACGCATAGACAATGGAAAGGAGCTGATTGCTGTCCGAGAAATTTCTGGTGGTGAACTCATCCAGGTAAGTTGTAAGAAAGATTTATAACTACATGTCAAACGCAAAAATGATTATGAACAAGAATTTTGTCACTTCTGAGTTACACCTTTAATAAGTAAACTGTTACTTCTCTCTTGTAAATATTTATTTATATATATACAACACACACACATATATATGAGACATCTATTTATTGAGGAGAGTTTGCATATATATACATCAATTCTTATTTTAATAACAAAAAAATAAATGCCTCAACCCAAAATGTAATTTTAATGGTTCTATCCTATATCTTCCTAAAATGCTTCTATCAAATTCAAGAAAACACTAGGACAGGCTCTAACGTTATTATTTTTCTTAATTTGGGATATTAACTTAATTGACACGTTCTTTTTTGTTTTTAAACATCTTTCAGACCTACACATATGAAGGAGTCGAAGCCAAGCGGATCTTTAAGAAGGAATAGGCAAGCTTCTTGGAGCTGGAGCAACACTGAAGAGCTACACTCTTGTTAGACTTCTCTCTCCATGATGTCAACGCCAGGAAGAGTCATCCTTTCATGAGCATTGATAGATTTCCAGTCTTCTCAAAGCCAGAGAAACTAATTAGGACTTCATTTGTTTTATGTTCCTTCAGATATACATTAACCAGAGTTTTAAAGAAAATAAATATTATTCTCACATTGCTTTGTAAGTAGTGTTTCCTTAAAAAAAAAAAAAAGCTGTTGGCATGGCATTGATGACTGTGTATTCAATATTATATTTGTGTGTGTGCTGAGTTATGATTTTTCTGAACATATTTGAATTGATGCATCACACATAAAACATCTTGAGTGGTCCCTCTATATAGCTGGTCCTCAAAGGGAAACCCACAGGGACAGCTGACCAGAACTCATGGGAGCTCAGACTCTAGATTAGGAAGCCTGCATGGGACAGACCTAGGTACTTCAGCATGTGGGTAGCAGTTGTGTAGTTTGGTCTGTTGTGGGGCCCCTAGAAGTGGGACCAAGATCTGTCCCTGGCACATGAGCTCGCTTTTTGGAACCTATTCCCTATTGCGGGATGCCTTGATCAGCCTTGATGGGTTGTGGGGAGCTTGGGTCCTGCCTCAACTTGATATGCCAGTCTTTGTTGACTCACATGGGAGGCTTTACCCTTTCTGAGGAGTGGATGGGGAGAGGGGATAGGAAGGAGGTCGGGGAGAGTACAGGAGGAGAGGAGGGAGGGGAAACTGTGGTTGGTATGTAAAAGAAATAAAACAATTTAAAAAATGTACATAATAGACTAGTGTGTCCTTTTCTTCTACAGAAAATGGACCAAAATGTAGATTGAAACTTTCCTTTGAGTGGATGGAAAATCTCTTCAGTTCTCTCTCCTTGAGCCTGTGTGTGTGTGAGTGAGCCTTGCTCTGGCTGATGAGATCTCTTAGTTCCCGCCCAGTCTTAGGTTTACTAGTGCGAACTTGAGAAAGCCAATTCATCTCTTTGGAATGTACTTCAGGTATCTTTAAAATGATTAGACTGGATTTCTAAACTCCTTTCACAATAATAATAATATATATATATTCAAACAACAGCCAGTAACTCTCCCTTTCTTAAGCAACCATTTGAGAATATGTCACGGGGAGAGAGTGTTGCAGTGAGTTTTTGTTGTTGTTGTTGTTGTTTTGTTTTGTTTTTCAAGACAGGGTTTCTCTATGTAGTTTTTGGTGCCTGTCCTGGATCTTGCTCTGTAGACCAGGCTGGCCTCAAACTCACAGAGATCTGCTTGGCTTGCTTCCTGAGTGCTGGGATTAAAGGCATGCGCCACCACCCAGGGAGAGTGTTAGGGTGTTAGAGAACATGGTGTAGGGAGAGAGAAATCCCCTACATTGTGAAATATGGCTGCCTTCATGGGCTCACAACCCATTTTGACTTAGAAAGGCCCTATGTTTGTTTCAATGTCTTGATGCTACTGTCTTAAGAGTCTCAATATCAAGGTGCCCTTGTATTTTCTTTTTCTTCCTTCCTTTTGTTTTTATTTTGTGTGTGTGTACATGTTCATGTATGAACATGTTCATATATGGTAGTGCTTGTACACGTGTGTGGCCAGGTGTGTTTGGAGACCAGAAGTTCTCACTGGATACCTTTTTCTGTTATTCTTCACCATATTTGGGGTAACAGGATTTCTAACTGAACCTGGAGCTCATCTATCAGTGACTGGCAGGCCAGAAAATCTGGGGACCCTCCTGTCTCTATTGTCCTCTCAGCATTGAGGTTACAGAGATCCACCTCTATGCCCAGATTTTATGTAAGTGCTAGGGATCATAACTCAGATACCTACATTGTGCAGCAAGTGATTTACATCCTGAGCCCTCTCAGATCTCAGCTCCTTTTGTATTTATACAGATCCTGCAAAATATTTACATAGTCCTATCCCTAGGGGCTGACTGTTCTTAAGTACAGGAGGCATGGGGCACATCAGGAATCCTGGTAAGGAATCATTCCAGGGTGTCTCAGTTCACCTGTCCTCACTGAGGATGCCATTAGAATACAGGGTTACAGAAGGCCCCCGGTATAGAATCCAGATTCCCAAGAATCCAAGAGGGAATGAAAAAAATCTCAATCTGGTAGTCAGTGTCTAGGACTGTGAGAAGGTGAAGATTAGTTGAAATCAGAAGGGAGAGGACTGACTTCTCCTGAGACTTAAGTCCAGTTTCAAGGCCATATCCTCAAGTCTCCTTTCCAAACAATTCTGTCTCTCTCTCTCTCACACACACAGACACAGACACACACATACACACTCATACACATATTCACCCATAGAAACACACACACACTTAGTTCATTTTGTGTTGGCCAACTACTAATGGGCATGAGGTCTTCCTTGGTGTGTGTTTGATATGAGCAGTTAGAGTCCAGTGGAGAACGCTGATTTCCCATTGCCAGTGGGTATAAATTATGCTCTTTATGGGTGGGACCCCATGTCCCCTTCTCCTCTCAGTGCGGGGACCCCTCTGACTTGAACCTATGGAGGTCTTATGCATGCCCTAGCCTGTAAGTTCATATGTGCATCAGTTCCACTGAATCTAGAAGTTTTTCACCTCTTTAATTTTGTTTGATTCACCACCACCACCCAGGTGTGGACTGAAAATTCTTTTTTTTTCTTTTATTAGACCTTTGAAATTTTTGTACAATTAATTTTGACCATAACAACCCCTACCCAACTTCTTCCAGATCCAATCCCTCTTTCCTACCTACCCAACTTTGTGTCTTCTTAAAAACAAAAGTAAAAAGAAAACAGATTCCCTCTCCATATATTCTTGGTGTGTGGCCTTTCACTGGAGTATGGTTGACCTACTAGTGGGCAACATTCTTAAAGAAAACTGACTTACCTCCTACCAGTAACTATCAATTGCAAATAGCTCATTGGGAATGGACGAGACTTCCTGTTCACTTGTTTTGACCCACCACATAAGATAAAATATTTTATTTATTTGTTTATTTACTTATTTATTATTCTCAACCACAATTTCCCATCCCTCTTCTCATCCAGTCTCTCCCCACCCCACCTCCTCTTTCCTCCATATTCATACCCACTCCATCTCCTCTTAGAAGAGAGCAGGCCTCTTTTCAACCAAACATGGCATTGCATGCTACAATAAGACCATCATATCAAGGCTGCACGAGGAAACCCAGTAGGAGGAAAAGGGTCCCATAATCAGGTAAAAGAGTCAGAGACTGTCCATGCTCCCACTGTTACCCACAAGAACACCAAGCTACTCAGCCATAACATATATGCAGAGGACCTAGATCAGACCCCTATAGGCTCCCTGATCTCTGCGAACCCCCATGAGATCAGTTGAATCTGTGGGCCATGTTCTCATGATGTCCACAGTGCCTCTGGTTCCTCAGATCCTTCCCCCACCCCCTCCTCACAACTCCTCGAGCTCTGCCTAATATTTGGCTGCAGGACTCTTGCATCTGCTCCCATCAGTTGCTGGATGAAGTCTTTCTGGTCTCTTTGATGAGGATTCTGCTAGGCTCTGGTCCCAGAGCATTCTGCAGGCAGGACAAACTGTAGGTCAAAGGTTTTGTTCCTGGGTTGGTGTCCCAATCCCCCCACCTGGGGCCTTGCCTGGCCATAGAAGATGTTCAGTCTCCATGTCTCCCACTAGGAGTCTGTATTAGGGTTACTCTCATAGATTCCATTGTACTAGGTTTCCACCTCAGCCCTGAAATGGCCTCAATTCCAGTCATTTCTCCCTTCCTCCCTGCCCACTTGATCCCTTCTTTTCCCATTCGTACCCACCTTGAGTCCACCCACAAAAATCTATTCTATTTCACTTCTCAGGGAGATCCTTGCATCTGCTCTTAAGCTCTCCTTATTACTTTGCCTCTCTGGGTCTATGGACTGCAGCATGATTATCTTTTACTTTACAGCTAATATCCACTCATAAGTGGGTACATATCATATTTGTCTTTATAGGTCAAGATGATGTTTTTCAAGTTCCATCCATTTGCCTGCAAATTTCATGATCTCATTCTTTTCATTTTTTTACAGCTGAGTAAGACTTCATTGTTAAATGTTCCACATTTTCTTTATCTATTCTTTGGTTGAGGGGCATTAAGTTGTTTCTAGTTTCTAGCTATTATGCATAAAGCTGCTATGAACATAGTTGAGCAAATGTCCTTCTGGGAGAATGAAACATCCTTTGGATATATGCCCTGGAGTGGTATACCTGGGTCTTGAGGTAGATTGATTTCCAATTTTCTGAGAAAACCCATATTGATTTCCAAAGTGGCTGGACAAGTTTGTATTCCACCAGCAATGGAAGAGTGTTCCCCTTGCTCCACATCCTCTCCTGCATGAACTGTCACTTGTGTTTTTGACCTTAGCCATTCTGACAGATGTAAGATGGAATCTCAAAATCATTTTGATTAGCATTTCCCTGATGGGCCAAGGATGTTAAACATTTCTTTAAGTATTTGTCAGCCATATTGATTTCCTCTGTTGAGAATCTCTGTTCAAATCTGTAACCCATTTTTAATTATTTAGTTTGTTGATGTCTAATTTCTTGAGTTCTTTATATATTTTGGATTTTAGACCTCTGTCAGATTTGAAGTTGGTGAAAATCTTTTCCCATTCTGTAAGCTGACATTTTTGTCTTATTGACTGTGTCCTTTGCCTTACAGAAGTTTTTCAGTTTCATGAGGTCCCTGTGCTATTGATGTTCTGTTCAGGAAATTGTCTCCTGTGCCAATGCATTCAAGGCTAATCCCCAGCTTTCTCTTCTATCAAGTTTAGTGTATCTGGTTTTATGTTGAGGTCTTTTATCCACTTGGACTTGAGTTTTGTGCAGGGTGATAGATATGGATCTATTTGCATTCACCTACATACAGACATCTGGTTAGACCAGCACCATTTGTTGAAGATGCTTTTTTACATTGTATATTTCTGACTTCTTTATCAAAAAATCAGATGTCTGTAGGTGTGTGGATTAACCTCTAGGTCTTTGATTCAGTTACATTGATCAATATGTCTGTTTTTATGCCAATATCATCCATCTTTTTATTATTATTCCTCTGTAGTCCATCTTAAAATCAGGTATGGTGATACCCCCAAAAGTTCTTTTCTTGTGTAGGATTGTTTTACCTA